TTATTCACCCCCCCCTCCCACCTCACAGACGTGATGGGAGAAGGGAAATCCTTTATTTCTGCCCCATAGAGAGGCAGGATGTGGGGCAGGATGTGGGGCAGCCACTCACCGCCCTCAGGGCTGCCAAGCCGGTTCCTGAGGTCAGGCGGGGAGCAGCAGCCCACAATGAGGGGGAATGGAGGCGCCAGGCCCAGCCCAGCTCCCCTCTCGGCAGCACAGAGGGGGGCTCAGGACCCCCAGGACCCCCAGGGGGGGCGGGCGGCAGCCCAACGTCCCCAGGCCCTACAGGGCCAGCGTGTCCTTGATGAGGCGCCGCATGGTGGTGGTGACGGAGCTGCCCAGCGCGTCGGTGATCTGGTAGGAGATCTTGTACAGGTAGGGCTGCACGTCCTTCAGGCTGGTGTCGAAGACGTTGTCCACCTCGGACTGCGTGGGCATTTTGGGCAGGTATTCGTGGCGGTTCATCACCTCCACGATGTTGATGATCTTCTCGCACAGCTTCTCGCCCACCTTCTCGCGGCAGATCTGCCTCTCCTGCTCGTTGGCCAGGTTCACCACGTTCACCTTGATGGTCCACAGCTCCCAGGGGATGCATTCGTCCGAGAAGGGCCAGCGGGATTTCTTCTTCTGGTAGAACTCCAGGGAGATCTGCCCCATGCCGTCGCTGCCGGAGCTGCGCAGCGCGTCCTGCGGGCGGCACGGAGCCAAGGCCCAACCCAGCAGTGAGCGGGACGACGGCCGAGCCGCTCGTAGGGGCTTCGGCTCTAAGGTGGCCTCGGAGGCTCCTTCTGACCCAACCAACCCATGGTGGACCTTTAGGGCTCCTTCTGACCCCTCCATCCCATGGTCGACCTCCCTCTAAGGTTCCTTCCACCCCAACCATCCCATGCTGGACCCTTAGGGCTCCTTTCAACCCCACCATCCCATGGTCGACCTCCCTCTAAGACTTCATCCAACCCCTCCATCCCATGGTTGACCTCCCTCTAAGACTCCATCCACCCCAACCCTCCCATGGTTGGCCTGCATGGCTCCTTCCACCCCAACCATCCCATGATTGACCTCTCTCTAAGATTCCATCCAACCCAACCATCCTATGGTTGAC